TCTAGGGTTAGTCAGGAGTGGAAAACTACTGGGTTAGGTGTGGCTGCATTCTTTGGGGTAATGGATAACGTGCTGCAGGAGGAGAGGGGGAAGGGGGTCTTTCTTTCCGTCACATCCCGAAATCTTCCAATCGCCTGTCCCTATCTACTACACATATTAGTTTTCTTCCTGGATATAAAGGCTTGATTTCAGCCACTTCATTAGTGGGCTATAATTTATGCTTACATAGTGTTTTCAATCCTCAGCTGCCATAGGAATACTACTTAATGAATCTTTGCAATCTTGCCTGTGAGATAAGTCTAGCAAATCTTATTACTGCATTATTTCCTCTTTTTTTCTTGCTTACAAAGGGAGGCAATATGTAACATGAGAGTCCACACAACCCTTAATCTCAGTTTATGTAGGTTCTGTTATTTTACTTCATTATTACTACTCTTCTGCCTTCTCTTTTTTTAAAAGCTTATTTGAATCTCCATCTTTATTTTAATTCAATTTATTTTCTAGTTGTCACATACAGAGGTGACTATTAGAGGTTTATTTTGATCAACTTAATATGCACCTGACTGACTCTGTGGTTGAAACCTACCTGTTATTATCCATAACCATTACAATATCTTCACTTGGCTTGAATTACTGTGTTTCAGAAATTGCTGCTATTCTGTCATTTTTATCAAAGGCACTTTTTCTTATTTCATTTTAAAATGCCAGTTCTTTTATCCTTTTCAACTTTCATGTCACCTTTTGAGCTGCAAGGCTTTTATAAATTGAGTTTGAAGTATCTCCTTAGAGCTCTGTTATTAGTCATACAGCAGAATCATCTCTGCTTTTTTGTCTTTAAACAGAACAGTATCTCTTCACAGCAGTACTTGATAAACACTTCCTATGACAAATAAAACCATACTACAGCAGCATGGAGTTTTAATGATCTGTTTTGTTTTCTTTTGGATGAACCAGAAGAAGGACATAGCCCAAAGCTGGCAGAGTCAGACAAAGACACATGTAACTTGTTAGGAATGTTGCATTGTGGAGTGTTTTCTTCATGTTATGC